TCCTGCTGAACAGAACCAAATGAATCCCCTAGTTTTCTAGGAAGCTGGGTGAGGCAGTGAAATGAATAGGATTGAATTAGGTATTGGTGATTACAGGAACGTTGTGGGGGGGGGGAGACAAAGGCCAGAGCCCATCTGAAAGCCTACTCCATGGTAGCAGCGACCATGAGAAGATAATTATTTTTGCATAGGAACAGAGTGATCAACCAATGAGGACAAAATATGGATTCCTGTCACCAGTTTGCAGAGTACTTTGTACGTGGAATTGCTCAGCTCTGTTCTGATTGGATGCCATAGTTAGATGTCCCAGCATTTTGGGACACATGCATACACACACCATTTAAAGAGAGGTTCTATGAGTGCACTCACAGAATGGCTGCTGAGCAGGTATGGCAAGTAATGAGTGTTGGAACACAAGTTTCTAAAACACATATATTTTTTAATGTTGCTAAAGAGCTACCTACTTTTGTCATTAAGTGCCATAAGGTTTCTTCTGACCAGTGGTGACCGTATGAATGAATTTAACTCCAAAAGACCTGGTCAGTAATCATCCTATTTTGGTCATGCAAACTTAAAGTCCTGCCTTCCTTTTCTGAGTCAGTTCATCTTATATTCCCAACTCTCTCATTTTTGACTGCCTTCAACTTTTCCAAGAATTACTGTCTTTTCCAGTGGGTCTTGTCTTCTCATGATGTACCCTAAATATGATTGTCTTAGTTTCACCATGTTTGCTTCAAGCTTGATTTGATCTAGGACTCATCTGTCTTTCTTGAAGTGTATATTATCCATATAGGTCTCCTTCAACGACATGTTTTAAGTGAATCACTTTTGTTCCCTTCAGCTTTCTTCACTGTGCACTTTCACATCTCTACATAGCAATTGGGAATAATCATAGTACAGATCTTGATCTCCAATGATGCATCCTTACATTTGAGGAACTTTTCTAGTTCCTTCATAACTACCCTTGTGCTTTCTTGACTGCAGTCTTATTTGAATTGTTGATTGAACCAAGGTATATAAAATCTTTATAATTTAAGTTTCTTTGTTGTCAGCTTGAGAGTTACGTAATTTTTCTGTGGACATGTTTTTTGATTTAATATTTTGGCTTCTTAATATTTGCTTTCTTGGAAGATTAATGCAAGGGTCACATAGCTAATTGCGCTCTTTAGCATCTCCTTTCCTAAGGTTTGGAATGTATTCGTGAAGGCTTTCACGGCCGGGATCTAATGATTGTTGTGGGTTTTTCAGGCTCTTTGGCCGTGTTCTGAAGGTTGTTCTTCCTAACGTTTCGCCAGTCTCTGTGGCCGGCATCTTCAGAGGACAGCACTCTTCAGAACACAGCCCGAAAAACCCACAACAACCATTTGGAATGTATGTTGAATGTTTCCAGACTAAGAATATGTTTTAGCATATTCTTGTTTTTGATTCGGGGAGCAAATACTGTAGGAGAATGTCCTAGGATGATGATTTTCTATACTGCAGCCAAACAACTTATACTGGCTAAAATTGTTGTCACTCACACAGGAAATATTCAGTTACCCTGGGGAGGCACATTGCAAGGGTCAAATTAACAGAGGGTCAAATTATGTATAATGAGATACAACAAGCTCCTTTCCTCCTTATGTTCAGGAAGTCATTGAAAACAGAATTATTCAAAGCTGCCTTCAACAACTGATTTTTTTTCTAGTTCTCTCTTAGTTTTTTGTATGGATTTTATCACCAGTTTGTGTACATTGTTATGTGGGATTTTTAAGTTTAAACTTGTAAGCCATCCAGAGTAGTGTGTGCACTAATGGGGCATTGTACCAATATATTGCTTTGTGTATGTATAAATAAATACTGCAGTACCTTGCACCTTCTACTGTTATTCTCCACCAACCCTCTTATTTGTTCAGTTTACAGAGGGACGTAGCATTGTGCTAACTGTTTTCAGTTTCCTCACCATCATTTTTATTTGGAAAGAATCCAGGTTGCAAGGGTTGAAACATTAATCTTCAAAAAAAGGCCTTTCAAAAAACAAAAGCAATTATTTTGTTACAAACTGAGTATATATGGAGCAGACTTTCCGGCAAGAATGGTCCAAAGTTGATACATTTTTTCAGTTTAGTGTGGTACAGGGGGTTTCAGGGCAATAAAAGATTATTGTGGCATAGTCAAAAGATACATTTTTAAAAGAGTTTTTAAAAAACACCAAAAACTTGGCTTGCTTGAAACAGTAACAGAGAATTCTAATCCAGGAATTAGCATACAATTTTGTTGGACATATTCAAAGTACTTCTATGTTTTAAAAGCACAGAACAGTTATATTTCTCCCAGCCTTGAATTTTTAGTAAAGATTTTCTCAAGATTTCTGATATCATACTCGAGCCACAAGTGTTTTAAGGGAAAATCAACTCCATGTGTGTAGCAATCTGAACTTTTGACCTTGTCAATCAAGATCCAATAATAAGACTCTCAGGAGAACTTTTTAACTCCTTCCTGACTAAACAGACATCACATAGACTTTGTGTGTCTTATTGTAAAAATATTTTAAAAGATTTTTTAAAAAGAACAGCTGTTCAGAAGCTCACTTGCTTAAAGCTGTGAATTTACTGCAGACATCACATAGACTTTGTGTGTCTTATTGTAAAAATATTTAAAAGATTTTTTTTAAAAGAACAGCTGTTCAGAGGCTCACTTGCTTAAAGCTGTGAATTTACTGGATTGTTGCTTTGTACCTGGGATGACATTACTCAATGTTACCAGAACTTTGGTGACTGCATTCCACTCCTCTTGTCACTACATAATGGCTTGGTAATTTTAAAAAAACCCTCCAAAGATGTTATGTGTCAAGTCACTTCTAATGTGTGGTGACTACATGAGTTAATGACCTCCCAAATGTCCTGTCATTAACAGTTCTGCTTAGATCTTGCAAACCATCAGCAACATTCATTCACACTTGTCAGAAAACGGCCCTTACATTTACTTTGTGCTTGAGTGAGAGGCGGTTAACTGATGAAAAAAGGAATCATTCTCTAGAATTTTCCCTTGCTTGGTGTCACTTTATGAATGATAATGAGCAAAATAGGCTATCCTGTAGTAGTAGTAGTAGTAGTAGTAGTAGTAGTAGTAGTAGTAGTAGTAGTAGTAAAAAATAATTTATTACAATCAGTGACCAGAAAGATAAGAATACAATATTTAGATGAAATCAAGTAGTATCAGAGACATTGGTCAAGACAGGTATCCTGTAGAGCAGTGGTCTCCAACTGTTTTGGGACCACAGACCGGTTGGGTGCGGACTCCATACACACGTGGGGCAGGGGCACCCCTGTACTCGCGGGTGGGCATGTTGCTCTCACAGGTGGGTGTGTCGCACATGACACGGCCACCTGCAAGCACAACACACCATAAAGTAGTATCAGAAACATTGGTCAAGACAGGTATCCTGTAGAGCAGTGGTCTCCAACTGTTTTGGGACCACAGACCGGTTGGGTGCGGACTCCATACACACGTGGGGCAGGGGCACCCCTGTACTCGCGGGTGGGCATGTTGCTCTCACAGGTGGGTGTGTCGCACATGACACGGCCACCTGCAAGCACAACACACCCCTCCGCAAGCGCGACACACCCACCATGCGTGCAGGGGTGGAGATCCATCTCTGCAGCCCAGTTCCGGGAAACCCATGGACTAGCACCAGGCCGCAGCCCAGGGGTTGGGGACCCCTGCTGTAGACCATCTTGTCTGTTGCCTTCAGTGTTGTCAACCTTCAGGCTGTCCTTCACTATGCGAAACTTGGCATTCTTTTCCTGCTGGCAATGCAGGCACAGTAGTGTGCAGCGCTATTGGGACATTTTTCGGGTTTTTAATAGTGAACACGGAAGCACAGTGTGCCACATTCATAAACAAGGTTTTTAAAGAATTAGATGCATATATTGTGTGAAGAATGCATTTATTACCCATTGGCCCAAATCCAAAAGTGTAACTTACGTTGGCTAAAACTGACTTTATAAGCCACGATGGTTTTTCAGAAATATCCAGTTCTTCTCCCAAAGGGAGGTTTGGGATAGCATTCATCTTGGGAAACCCTTGAGATTTGATAGACCGGAGAGACACAATTTTCAGAAATTAAAGACTCCGACTCCGACTCCTCCCTTCAGCAGCTTCCTCACAATGAAAGAAATCACAAAAAAAAAGCCTTGGCATTTATGGGAGAAGGAATTAGATATTTTCAGTTTCTGGGGGGGAAAAACAGTGGTTGATGATATCATCACCCTTGTCCTACACTGAATTTTGGTAACTGAAAAATTACATTTGATTCTGAGAAAAGTCATGTTTTTTCCTTTCTTAAAAAAAACCTAGAACAGACACCAAGGTGTCTGATCTATAACAGAAGAATAAATTATGTTATTGTGTGCAGAAGAGTTTAAATACCTCCAATTATGATTGCTAGTCACTGAAAATCTGTCTTTGTATGTTATAAATATTAATGAATATAGTCTATTTCAGTGTTGAGTGAGTGAAATAACTAGGCAATGAAACAGTCTGTTTCACATTTGACTACCAGTCCTCTCCAGAATGTCCATTAGTCCTCTAGAACAGATGCTGAGGATACCAAAAGGACTTGGGAAAGCATCACCATGCTAAGATGATGTTCCTTTGGCAGATGAACACAATTGCTTATTGCTCAAAATAGTTACACATTTATACTCACTATACCAGCTTAAGAACACTCCTGCAGCGGTCTGAATACAAGTGTGCATGGTGTAGTTATTGGTGGTTTTAGAAATATTTTAACCCATTTTATAGTATGCATCAAGGCTGCATCTACTGAACCTAATTAATGAGTCAAAATGTTGGTTATAGGAAACTTGTTTGAAACCTAAGGGCTTCAAAGAGCCTGGGGGGATGCAGGTTAATTGATTGTCCCTCATTATGTAAAAGTGTGTTGCCTTTTGTTTCACTTTCACTTTCATTTATTATCCCTGCTGACCTATTTCCTCTCTTCTGTCTCTTGCTTTCAGGAGTTCTATGAACACACAAAAACGCTTTGGCAAGATGAAGGTGTGAAAGCCTGCTATGAGAGATCTAACGAGTATCAGTTGATCGATTGTGCACAGTAGTAAGTATAGTTTCTCTTATAGTTCTTTCTTCCTTTCTTTGTGGAGGGAGGATAAATATGGGGGACAATGCCTGTCTCATGCGTTCAAAGAAGAGACATTACTTCTGAAATGGTGGACATTATTTTGTAAAATACTTAAACCCTGGGTCAGAAAATTTCAGCACAATGAAGTGTGATAAGCAGTTTGATCTTGTTCTGGCTTTTTTTTTGCCCTGTCCTGTGTCACCTTATGTGTTGGGAATTCTGTATGTCATGTGATCCTTGTAGAATACGAGCAGTTTTGTGTGTGGGGAAACTATATACAGAAATGGCTTTACTGAATTCATGTGTATGAGAAAATGAAGAATTGTATTAAAAACATTGCATCACTAACCAGTTTTTGACTTCATCTTAAAAAAAAAATCTGTGAAACCGTAGGCTGTGTTCAGAGGTTAAATGGCAGGCATCTCTTTCAGTCTTTGGTAATTAATTGTTCCCTTTAGAACCATTTGCTAGAGAGAAAATGATAAATTAGAACATACTTCAAATCAAGATGTATTTTTACCTTTCTAAAATAAATAAATTAACAAGTCATCACTCGTACAATTACAGCTTTTGTGTCACCAGTGTCCTGCATTGTACAGTATCAGTATTACGTAACCTTTTCTGGTTTACAACAAGGGCACCAAGAGTAAAAGGAAGCTCATAGATGTTCCCATCCCTTACTTCCCTAAGGAGCCTCTCCAGAGAATTTGGAGATTGTCCTGGATCTTGTGAAATAAGTATTCTGAAGGAGTTTAGGATTACTTAAAATTAGACGGAGGTGCTTCGTGTTAGGGAACCCTATGCCCCAGCAGATTCCCATGCCCCATCTAATTCTGCTGTGAGTGAGAGGGTGGAAATCCATATTTGCAAGCATGCTTCCCCCACAGTTTTTTTGTACCAAAGCCTCTACTTTACCATTTGAAGTAAATTGTATTCAGGATTATGTTTGATTTCCCCTCTTTTTTTGGAGTTGTGTTGATAATGGGCCATCAAGTTGCTTCTGACGTATGATGGCCTTATTAGTTAGTAATGTCCACAAGGCCATGATGCTTTTATTGAGTTAGGCCATCTCTTATTTGGATGTACCCAAAGGCACAGTTTAATCATCTAGGGAATGTTTAGGCTTGATTTGAACCTTTCTGACTTTCTGGAGGTGCAGGGATCCATAAATTTAGCTCTCTTCCAGCAGCATATTTCAAATTAATAATTTCTTTTTCTGTCAGCTTGCTGGCTTTTACATCTGTTCTCACATTTCTTGTCAAAAATAGTCTAATTTTCTTAACATTTTAATTTGTTTTTAATTTTATATTTATTTCATATATGTCCATAATTTCACATTGTGCAATGGGTCTGATTTGAATAATAATAATAAAATCTTTATAGAGCAAATCCTGTTGCATGGCTATGCCTGCATAACTTGAACTTGTGCAAACCTATTACAGAATTTACACAAAGGCAGAAGCCTTAGCAAGGAAGCACTTCTGCAGACATAACTGCATGGTCAGTTGCATGGTTCATTTTACAAACAGATATGCAAACAGCATTTTGCAATTATCCCTGATAATATCTCTGGTTTCAAACCACAGTTCTTCTGGTTTGTTATCAGTTGGGTTTAGTACTGGAAACCTGTTATTTATATGGACTTCAAATTCATCTGAAATGTTATTTAAATTAAATTTTGGTTGTATGGTACTTTTAGCATTCTTTACCTTTACTATAATTTTTGACAATTTGCATGTATTTGCAGTAAACAACTTGTTTGAGTCACAGAATTCTATGGACAGTCCTGCTTCATTACTGACATATACTGTAGGCCAAATTCTCCTACAGTATTTAGTTCTGCTTTGTTTCCTACTTTTGTATTTTAGTAAACTAGGATTATTAATATATCCTCTTTTGGTGTGTAATGGGTTTCCTGACTCCTGGCTGTGGAGTTAGAGAGCCAGCTCAGATGACCTTCAGCATGTGTCACTGACAGGGGTAAGTGCCTTTCAAGGTGCACAGCCCCAGAACACCACCAGGAAACAGTCCTGCTTCATTACTGACATGTAGGCCAAATTCTCCTACAGTATTTAGTTCTGCTTTGTTTCCTACTTTTGTATTTTAGTAAACTAGGATTATTAATATATCCTCTTTTGGTGTGTAATGGGTTTCCTGACTCCTGGCTGTGGAGTTAGAGAGCCAGCTCAGATGACCTTCAGCATGTGTCACTGACAGGGGTAAGTGCCTTTCAAGGTGCACAGCCCCAGAACACCACCAGGGGGTCTGAGAAATCCCTTCTAAATACTTTAGACCAGTGGTGTCCAGCCTTGGCCATCCAGATGTTCTTAGACTACAAAGCCTAATAAATCCCTTCTAAATACTTTAGACTTTGAAAATGCTTGGAATGTTACCATATCAGATTTGACTTACCAGCACATCATCAGCATCAGTGTTACTGCTGTTGCTATCATCATTATCATCATCCCAGACTGTTTTTGTCCCAGAGCCAAAGTGGATCTAACACATGTAAAATGCTGGGAATGTTACCATATCAGATTTGACTTACCAGCACATCATCAGCATCAGTGTTACTGCTGTTGCTATCATCATTATCATCATCCCAGACTGTTTTTGTCCCAGAGCCAAAGTGGATCTAACACATGTCATACCATGAGCCTTGTTTTGGCTGTGGTGGCTATGAAGTTTTCTTTGACAACAACAAACTTTCCCTACAAAAAGTGGAGGGTTAGTTCAATTGGTCCCTCCTTGAGGTTTTTGGAGTTGAGGGACTCCTGAATGCCTCTGGGATTTTCAGGTTAATTGGGCTAGCAGTTCAGATGAGGCTATGAAATAGTGATGGAAAGAACTATCAGTACACTCTCTCCAAACTGCCTGCTTCACAACATGAGTCCATAGTTTCTTCTTCATTTATAGAAGATATGTAAATAATAATACACGCTAAACAACTGCTAGAGAACAGGTTGTGTGTAGGTCAAGAAATGAGTATGATTTGAAGCCAGTGGGGACCCTTTGTGCCTACTAGGCTGCAGTGAAGAGAGGTGAAGATCTTATTTTGCCTACACTAAATCATCCTTGACTTCTTGTCCTGCAGAATTATTTCAAGTGGTTAACAACTTGTTCAGATGTGTCTCAGGAGCCCTGATTACTGTCTCATGGTTCCTGAGAAGCCAAGGACCCTCAGCCACTTGCTTGTCAAGCTTCTTGGCACTAATTTCAACAATGGTCTGTTCACATAGGAAGATGCTTGAGACAATCTGTTGCTTTACTTGTAAGCTTTACCCTTATCTATCTTGCTTGATAAAATATAGTAGAGCTGGATTGGCGAAGTTAGTCCAGTAAGTAGTAAATGCCTCTTTACGTCATGGGCATATCTACCACTTTGATGTACTATCCCTGGAAGGGATGCTTGCTGGATCTAGATTTATTAGGGAATCACCACAAATACAGCTGCTGGTGGTTCTCTAATACTTAGTGGCTGAGCTGCTTCAGATTTTCTTTGTGGACAAAGAGATCATTGGATCCATTTCAGTCTGGTGTCAACCCAGGGTTTGGTACCAAAATGGCCTGAATTGCCCAGACTGATTACCTGCTCTGCGGGAAAGGTATTCCTTTAAAATATTTTTACCCCGCCTTTCTCCTTAAAAGGACACAAGGTAGAGAAATGCAACACACTTGGTCTTCACGGACTTTGCTTTTGATACAGCTTTCAGTACCACTGACCACTTAAGTCCAGATGAACAGCCACAACTGTTCCTGCTCAAGTACAACTGGGTGGTAGTACTTCATCCACTAGTAATCTCCAAGGGCACTCTGTATGTGTTTGCCCTTGAAGATTACGCAGATGCTGCAGTGAGTTCAAGATACAGCAGCTATATTGCTGACAGGAAAACCATCAGATAGTTCATGGTTCTGAAAGATTTGTACAGGCTGCGGATACACTTCTGAGTTTAAGGTGCCAGGGATGATTTCGAAAACCCTAAATAACTTCGCGACTTGGATATGTAAGAGAGTGCCCATCCCTTTATATAACTGCCTGATCATTACTGACCATCCAGATTTGCTGGGGCACACTCCTCATTGTCCTACCATTGAGAATGGTATATTGTGTTGCCTAATATATGGAGACTATTTATTGGCTATAGAATTCCTTGCCCTTGGAAGCTGGATTGGGGATAACATCAGATTTGATTCAACACCAGACTAAATTATGGCTGTTCACCAGAGCCATGGTGATTTGACATGAGTAGGTTGTGGAGTTCCTTGTAATAGTATTATTTTAAGAGTTTTAAATTATTTTAAACTGCTTAAATTAACTTACTTTTTTTAAAAAGTTTTAAGTTTTTTTTTTTTAAAAAATGTTCTAAATTATTGAAATCGTTTCACATAATTCTTGTTTTACCTTGCCCCGAGGACTTATAATGTAGAGTGGGATACCATCATCATCTTAACATTGCAGAGCTGGAAGTGACCCTCTGGATCATCGGGTCGAGCCCCTGTCAAGGAGGCACAGTGGCGAATGAAACTCCTAACCTCTGGCTCCACAGCCAGAGACCTAAACCAATGAGCTATCCAGCAGCTCTATAAATATATATAAAAATAGATACATGGATTGATTGATTTTGGCTAGGCAGCATTTGGTAGGAGACCATAATATCTTGGCAGTACAGTTGCTGGCTTCTCAAGTTAAAATGGTCTGGTGTTAGGCAGTGTGAGATTCTTGAACATCACCACGAGTGGATACATAGTATGTCCTTGTAGAGGGAAGCTTCTTTTATTTCTAATACATATGTGTATGATTTTATTTAGTAACTTGATAATTACTCTTTTAGAGACTAAACATATCTACTCTTCCCTGGCAGGCAGGATATACAAATGCAGAGCCTCTCCCCAGAGTTTCAACTGCTGTGGAGCAGGAGAGGGAAGGACTCTTTCTGGCTATTTTTTTTAAAAAAAAGTCATCTCAATACTTCAGC